TGCCTTTTTATAACTGTCTATTGTCGTTGTTGTCCATTGTTGTCATCATTCTTTGTTAAATCAGGTCTCTCTTGTAAATGAGTCCTCGAGGCTCAATGGGATTTACCTGTCTAAATAAAGGTTGAATGAATTTCAAATTATTTAAGCGTATACAACATACATCAAGCAGAAAACATAGAGCACAATATTAGTAATAAATTTTGTTATATTCAAAATCATATTGAGATAAACTAGTATAAACAAACAAAAACCCAACAAAGTGCCCCCACAGAATCCTGAATGTAATTCAGCCCTCTGTAAAGCTCTACACAACAACACCAACAAACAAGAAATCAAAATACAATAATGTTCTCATAAAGAAAATTGTTTGTATTTAGGAACTATAGTGTCCACCTTCTTCAGTCATTTGCACGGTCTACTGGCATTTTTAGATGTTTAATATACACAATGAATGGGTCCCAGATATGCTCAAACAAGTCCTGTTTGCCCTTTAGCACATGCAATATGTACTGTAACTGCTGATGTATGGAGTGCACCCGAGTATAAGCCACGTACTCTAAATAAAGAAAATCAGCACTTGTTTTGTACATAAATAAGTTACGCTTGTGTATAAGGCGCAGGTGTTCACGTTGTAAGATGAGTGGCAGCACACAGCTACTGAGAGAGATGTACTGCTCTTGTTGTAGATCAAGAATCAACCACCAGATGGCGTTTCATAGACTTTATTTTGCTTTCAACACACAGACAGAGTGAGTCACACAGTGGATCCACACCTCTTCATGCCAGCTAGCTCTCTCACTCATGGTTACTCTACAGAATGACCGAACACAAACTAACACATAAACTAAGCTAAGAACACACTAGTAATCAATAAATGAACCAATTCTAAATAGCTAAATAACTTACCAAAATTATTAAAAATGAACATGAATGAACATGATTTTTTACCCATAATCCCTCCCTGATGCCAAGTGACCAGCAGTCAACCACAATGACCCATTGAGGTAGTATAATTGAGAAACGAGGACCAACCCGCCCAAGAGATATGTGTATTGATTAAGGTTTAACAAAAACAACAGCATTCTCAAGGTCAAGGTTTCTTTGTCATTCTCATCATATGTGGTACATGTGGTGGAACAAAATTGTGTACAAAGGGTCCAAAGCACATCCGACAAAAGGATAAAGTGTAAGAAAATAACGGTAGTAAAATCTAAGATATGAACTAAGTAATACACTAAACTGAGAATACGCTAAGCACTAGTAGTGCGTAAACTATACGCTGAACAACAGCAGCATGAACAAGATTCTGTGTGAGAAGATGAGTACGAATGAACACAGCAGCATGAAATGAATCAGCAGCATGAGATCAGTAACATGGATAGTCAGCAGCACATAGCAACAATCAAGTGGCGTTACAGTGATTTTTATTTATTTTTTCACAGTGATAATCCTGATTTGGGATTCACGAGTCTTAACAACTTCAGGGTAGAAGCTGCTCCTCAGTCTAACTCACTTAATGTGCCTCAACCTTCTGCCTGAGGGGAGGACGGTAAAAAGTGTGTGTACTGGGTGCGTGTGGTCCTTCATGATGCAGGTGGCCCTCTTCCTGCATCTGGAGGTGTAGATGTCTGTGATGGTGGGGAG